CTTCCTCTGTCTCAGATAACCACGCTTGCTAACCGTGGTGGATCCAAGCGCCTGGAATGAGAAGTAAGAAGAAAACAGTTCCCGAGGAAACGGGAGGTGACTGCTCTCAGGGGAACAATAAGGAAAGGTTAATTTGGGAAAGATCCAAAAGAGGAAGCCACCAGGTGCCCATCACATGCGTCACGCATCACGTGTGATTCTGCAGAGTGGAAGGAAGGCTTGGGCCATCACCTCGCTGGGGCCGGGGCCTCCCTCGGCCAGCATGACGCCAGCAGCCTCTCCTGGAGGTACCCTGGAAGGAAAGCTGAGATGTGTTTGCTAAGTGAGTAGCTGATGGCCCCGAGAGAGAAATGTTGGCAAAGAGAAGGAAGGACTGGGAATGGCCAAAGGTGGCACCAGGAAAGCATTTGAGATCACCTTAGCTAACTCCTGTGGCTAAGAGTGCTGAACTCGTGTCAGGCGGTATGAGGCGGTACCCTGTCCTTTTCAAGGTAAGAGCTGTCTTCTCTCCCGTCCTCCCTCCTTCTCTTTCTTCACGGTTCTCACTGCTTTGGGGGAGCATCTCAGCATGCCCTTATGCAGGACCTCCCTGGGACTTCAAAGATGAATACATCACTTTGGGGGAAGGAGGGACACGAAGTGATCGTCAGTAAGGAGGCTTGGAGCTGGGCCACCTGTGTTCAGGCACGGGAGCTGTAAGTACAACGGTGCCATCGCGCCTTGTGTGCCTGATTTCCCAGTTTGCTCATCTGTCAAATTCTATTTGCCTTCCAACAGAGTGGAGAAGTGTATAATTATTTCTAATTTATTTTGAGACAAGGTCTTGCTGTGTAGCCCTGGCTGGCCCCAAATTCACTATATAGATGAGACTGGCCTCGAAATTCCAGAGACTCGCCTGCATCTGCCTCCCAAGAGAAATTTATAATTAGAATGGATGCAAACTGTCCGGCACACGGGAACATATCCGATAAATTATTGTTTCTGGCATGTAAACATGAGGTTCAGAGGATGGATAAACAAATGTGACCTACGGGGTTGTAGGAACAGAGAGTATGTGTCTAACTGTCTGGACAAGACCAAGTTCCGGACGCCGGGCATAGCGGGGCACACCTGAAATCCCAGCCCTCAGAGAGGGGGAGGCGGGAGAATCTCTGTGAATTCAAGGCCAGCCTGGTCAGCCACACAGAGAAACCCTGTCTCGGAAAACAAAACAAAACAAAACAAAACATAACCAACTAAACAAAGAGTGGGTTCTGGATCTCTGACTGGACAGGTCTGTATGAAGGTGTGTCCCCAAGGCGATTCAGACACGTGTGTTCTATACATCAGAGCTGAGTTTCCTCCACACTGAGGACAGGCACACAGAATCGTTCCCGATGGACTCACAGATTTAAAGGGCTGCATCAGCTTCATGTCACCCTCTATGGCTGATGTTTACGTTTCTCTGAGCATTTGTGCCTGTGTGTGTACGATCATTTCTGTCATGTATATTGGCCAAAATTTACTTGAACATTTAGCTATCTTTGGATAGTTGGGCATTTCTTCTTTTGGTGTTTACTTGTCTTCACTCATCAGAAAAGCATTAAGATGTGAAAGTAACTTTTCTTACTATTTATTTATTTTTCTATTTTAAAAAAAATATTTATTTTATTTATTTATTATTTGTTACAATTTATTCACTTTGTGTCCCTGCTGTGGGCCACCCTCCCTCCCTCCTTCTCCCCTATGACCCTCCCCTTTTTTCTTACTTAAGTTACATTTCAGGATGGCATCCCAGTACTTGGGAGGCAGAGGCAAGCAGATCTTATCAAGTTTGATGTCAGTCTCGTCTATGTAGGGAGTTCCAGGCCAGCCAGAGCCACAGTATAGTAAGACTCTGCCTCAACAAAAACAAAACAAAACTTTTGGGGTTGTAGGTGTAGCCCAGTTGCTAGCATGCTTGCTCAGCATACACAAAACCCTGGGTTTCAGCCCATAATTGCACAAATCAGAGTTGCTGATGCATGCCTGCAATTTAGCCATCAAGACCTACAAACAGGATGATGAGGAGTTCAAGGCCATCTTCAGTTACATAGTTCAGGCCAGTCTGGGATACTTGAGATTCTGTTACAACAGACAAACACAAACAAAAATGACCTTTCAGGACAGGTGAGATGGATCGGTGCCTAAAAGGGCTTGCCCCAACGCCCTATGGCCCGACCTGGATCTCTGGGACCCCCAGAGGTTGCCCTGTGGCCTTCACACACGCTTGTATCCGTATACCTGCTCACGTGTGATATGAAATAACATTTCATCGATGCTACTATTTCCCAATGCAACACACAGACCTGGATATCAGTATTTCAAGTTTTTCCATCCTTATTCAGGCATTCTTTGTTGCAAAAGGGTCTCACTCTGTAGCCCAGGCTTGCTACTCACCATGAAACCAAGTCTAGCCTCAAATTTGTAGCAAGCCTCCTGCTCCAGCTTCCACAGTGCTGGGGTCCAGTCACGGCCACCACACCCTGCCTATTGTTGTTTTTAATAGTTTTACTATTGCTCATGTGACTGCCCATACCACGCATTGTTTTTTGTTTACCGTGCAGCCAACGGCACTTTTACTAGAATATCTTCATGATAGATACTGATTTTAAATGGAGTAAAAATAGCCTTGTTGTTTTGAGACAGGGTCTCACTATACAGCCCAGGCTGACCTTGAACTAAGGATCCTCCTGCCTCTGCTGTGTACTAGGCTGACAACTGCAGCCAATCATCCTTGGCAGAAAAAGCCTTCTTTGGAAAAACCTTTATCTTTCCTTTTCAAAACCCCAACCAGAATAAATATTTTTAAAAAGGTCCAGATTTCCTGCCACACTGTCTCCAGGCCGTGTAAGGACCCAGAGGTGGTCATTCTGAGCACTTTAATGAGCTTTTCCAGATTCCTCCAAGCAAATGAGCCTACAAAGATGCCTTCTTTCCACGGGGCTGAGAATGGAACCCAGAGCTTCAGGCATTCAAGGCAAACACTCAACCGCTCAGCTTCGCCTCAGACTTTTTCAAGCTGAAAAAGTTATATTAGGCTGTTTTACAACCTGTTTTTCATACATCATAGTTAGTGCTTCAATGCAGTAAGTTCGGCCATATAGAATTGTGTCTAAGAGCATCATCACAGATTTGTCTTTGCACACTTCTCTGTCATGTGGATTGATGTTTACTTGGGTGTTTAGCTATTTTTAGGCATTTAAGGATTTCTTCCTTTGCTTTGGCTGCCATAAATAACACATTAACTTTTCAGGCATGTGGCCTTTTCTTCCCTATATTTTGAAGAATTTCCTGGAGTGGAAAGAGCTTACAAGGTTCTTTCCTACTGACTCAGATATTTTCAGCAGTGTGTCAGTTTCTCATCTGCCACCAAGATGAGGGAAGATTCTTAAAGGCTATTTTCTGTAAGAAATGGCAGCAAGGGGAACACTAAGAGGGACGAACAGAGAGGACAGGGAAGAAAGGGGAGAATAAAGGCGGACAGTGGTGGCAAAGAGGAAAATGACCCGATGTTACCTACTAAACAGCTTCCTAGTCAGAAAAGCAAGGTATGATCCTCCCAGGAAACACACGTGGGGCAGGCAGATGCCAAAGGTATAGAGTACCTGTGAGGACCTGTGTTCTATTCCTAGCACTGCAAAAGCAAAAGCCATTTCCTCCAACTTTGAAGACTGTTTGCACTCTGTTCATCCGTATATTTATTCCTTAGAGACAGGGTCTTGCTTTGTGGCCCATGTTGGCCTGAATCTCCAGGTCCTCAGCCTCTCCCCGGCTGGGATCAATGGTTTCTCTTTGAGTTACAGGCATGAATATAGTGAATTCCAGGTCATGCCAGCTAGAGGAGGGGGGAGGAATTGGAGAGAGAGACTTTGGGGATGAATCTAGCCTGTTCATATAATTTTTGGGGGTTCAATAATTAGATTCACTGACAGTTTCCATTGCCAGCGAGCTCGCTCCAGTTCCTCCAAGCGCTCTTAGTTTCCCTTTCCAATGGGAGCTACCGGAAGGGTAGGGAGTCAGACTCTACCTCTCCATCAGCCTGCAGCTTGGAGTGGACAGTGGCTCCATGAGATGGGAGGAACTGACCAAGGAGACGGCTCGTGCCACGGCTGCCCTCATGAGTGCCAGAGTCCTAGACCCACTGCCCGGCAAGAGGCGACGGGAAAAGGCTGCAGCTGCCCTCAGCCCTCTGCGTTGTCTTTAATCAACATCCCCCCAAGACCTCGGCGCCTACATAGATTAACCACTGCTTGCAAGGCCTCAAGCCCGGAACAGTGAAACCTTGGGATAAAACCGATCTGGCATTCTTCTCTTTATGACCTGGCACGCAGGGGCGCTGGAGGGCATCCCTCAAAATGACTGCTCTGCCCAAGGCTGTTGAGTTTTGGCTTTTCTTCCAACGGGCCTCAACTCAGGGGTCCCACCTCTGGCTCCGGGTGTAATCACGTGAGGCCTGCAAGCTTCCGCCACGCAGCCTGACTCAAACCACAGCCTTTGCGAAAACCCTGGCCGCCCCGTGACTCAGTTTCTCCAGTGGGCAACAGCATGAGGCACCAGAGCGGAATGCGGAGGGGCCTCCAGACAGCTTCCCCGCGGTGCGTGCTCGCAGGCGAGGCAAGAGTTTGTGCTGCCCGGAGCATTCTTTCTGGCCGTGCCCCCCCCTCCCCTCCCCGAACTGGCCACCGCTTTGGGTGACAATGATTCTGTCACGTGCCCCGGCTGGACTGTGAGAGAGACGCCGCCCAGGCCACTGAGAGGGCCTTCCGGGGAGTCGGCGGGTGCCCGTGGCCGTTCAGGCCCGTTCCCAGGGCCCGCAGCCTGACGCAATCCGTGGCGCCCTTGCTGCATGCCGGTGCTGGGGAAACCTTCCCCGCCGTTGCATCACTCCAGCCAGGTCCGCCACGGAGGAGGAGACGGACCAATCAGCGCGCGCGTTGGGCCGGGGTGGGCGGCTCCGGTACCCACTTGGAGGGCTGCGCGGTTAACCGAGAAACGAAATCCAAGCGTGATTGGCTCAAGCGAGAGTTTCCCCGCCCCAATCACCGGGACCCCTGGTGGCAGCTGGAGGGCCCTCCCGGCCGGAGGGTTTAAAGAGCGCGTCCCGGGGAACCGCTCAGCTGGAGCGACCGATCGGTGCCAGGCCAGGTGTACGCGTCCGTCGGTCCTTCCGTGCCAGCGCCGGAGACCAACCCCGGAGGCCACCCGGGCCCGTCCCTGCGCCCGGCACCATGAAGCAGGAGTCCGCAGCCCCGAGCACCCCGCCTCCCTCCCTGTCCCCTGCACCCTCCGCGCAGCCCTCCTGGGGGGGTGACGACCCCCAGGCCCTGTGGATTTTCGGCTACGGCTCCCTCGTGTGGAAGCCGGACTTTGCCTACAGCGACAGCCGCGTGGGCTTCGTCCGTGGCTATAGCCGCCGCTTCTGGCAGGGAGACACCTTCCACAGGGGCAGTGACAAGATGGTGAGCATCCTGCTGTGCCCGGGGGAGTGAGGTGGGGGTTGGCAGGAGAAGGGGCGTCCGCGTCCTGGAATGGCACGGAAGGACTCGGGGCTAACCGAGAGAGCTAGGGAGCCTGGTGCGTGGTTTGAATGCGTGTGCCTGGGGGGGGGCGGCTCGGCCTTTGCACCTGTGGGCTCTTGCCTTGATTTCCAGCCTGGGCCGTCGCTGTTTGTTTCTTCATCACTCCCCGTCCAGATTACTGGATCCCTTGGATGAACGGCCCTCCCCGAGACTTGGGGCTTGGGGTGGCACTCTTGGCTGTTGGCAGAGATGATTGCTTTCTTCTCCTCCTCTTCCTCCTCCGGCTGCTTGCTAGGTGGCCTCAAACTTAACGGCCAATATCCTTCTTGCAAGCGCTGACAGGATTCAAGCTCGGTCCTGTGTGTGTGTTTGTGCGCGCGCGGGTGTTTTGCTGGAGATTGGACCTGAGGCCTGTGCGTGATAGGCAAGCACCCTGTTGCTAGGGTACATTCACAGCCTTTTCAGAAGTGCTAATATCTAATTTTTTTTTTCTTCAAAATCTTGCTTCCCTCTCTAGCCTGGCCGAGTGGTGACCCTCCTTGAAGATGGTGAGGTAGGTGTGCAGTCAAGGGAATCCTGGGATCCAGTATGTCAGGGTGCAGAGGGCCAGAGCTCGTGGGTAGACTGGGAAGCGTAGCCTTGCTCAGTCTTGGAGAATCACCTGCTGGCCTGAGCCAGGTGTGGGGGCGCACACCTTTAATCCCAGCACTCGGGAGGGAGGCAGAGGCAGGTGAATCTCTGAGTTCCAGACCAGCCTGATCTACAGAGTGAGTCCAGGACAGCCAGGGCTGTTATGCAGAGAAACGCTGTCTCGAAAAACAAAAAAATCAATCAAACAAAAAAATTGATAGAGGAATGGCTCAGCAGTGAGAACCACTTTCTGCTTTGCCAAAGGGCCTGGGTTTGGTTCCCAGCTCCCACACAGTGGCCCACAATCTGTAACTATAGTTCCAGGGATCCAATTCTCCTGGCCTCCAAGGTCAACAGGCACACATGTGGCCTACAAACATACATGCAGACAAAAGTGCCCATACACATAAAGTTTTAAAATTAAATTTATTCATGTGCGCTGGAGCGCTATGTTTATGTAGGTCCCCGGGATTGAATGGTTAGTTTGTATGGTCATCAGGCGTGGAGCCATCTCCCCTCTGCCCCCACCTCCTTTACAGAGCACAGTTGTGGGGTGTGTTTAGGGTGACCTTCTAAGCTGACGGGGGTGGGGGTGGGGGCCGGCAGGACCGCTGTGACTGACTGGAGATGTCTGTTTTCTTCTAGGGCTGCACTTGGGGTGTGGCATATCAGGTTCGAGGGGAGCAGGTGAGCGAGGCCCTGAAGTACCTGAACGTGAGAGAAGCCGTGCTTGGCGGCTACGACACTAAGGAAGTCACCTTTTATCCTCAAGACAGCCCTGACCAACCCCTCAGAGCGCTGGCCTATGTGGCCACCCCACAGAACCCCGGTTACCTGGGCCCTGCTCCAGAAGAGGTCATTGCCACACAGATCCTTGCCTGCCGAGGCTTCTCTGGCCACAACCTTGAGTACTTGCTGCGTTTGGCAGACTTCATGCAGCTCTGTGGGCCTCAGGCACAGGACGAGCACTTGGAAGCCATCGTGGACGCCGTAGGAACCATGCTGCCCTGCCCTTACCTCACCGAGCAGGCTCTGGCACTGATCTGAGGAGCCGAGGCCCTGCAGGGAGCGTCCCCGTGGACACGGATGAACATCAATACGGAGTTCTTGAGACAGACTTGATGGAGCTTGGGAGACTTGGGAAGGCATGATGGGTGGCTGGGAACTTTGTGTCTTATGCCCCTGCCTGTCTGCTGGTCTCCGACCCTTTCCTGGCGGACCCTGACTTAACTACTTGAAATTTTATTTGTTGCACCATGTTGGTGTGGTGGGCTGGGCAGGCGGGGGACCTGCCCTGGATGTGGGCCCTGCTGTGCGGTGGCTCTGCCCTAGTCCTCTGGTACCTAACCAGAACTTCCCCCCCATTGCTGCTGCTAATTTTCACACCACCCAGACCCCGGCATCCCCAGGGAGCCTGCAAGAGCCTTGATCCTCTGTCTACCCAGACTAACCACCCCCAGCCCTGGAAACGTCACCTGCCCGTGTTCTTGGCCTGCTGGACAAGGGACAGCAGAGAAGGAGAGACAGCCCTTCAAAAGGACCAACGTCCAGCATCCGTCTTCATCTGCCGGGCCCCAGGGCAGAGCTGGCTCCTACGCAGAGAGACACAGCTGCTAAGACTGGGCTCCTTTCCCCTTTTGTTTCTTTTCCCTGTCTGTCTGTCTGTCTGCATCACTCCTGTAGACCTGTTGGTCTATTCCTGGGAAACATCACTACAGGTCCCTTCTCAGTCTGTTCCACACTGTGATCTATAAACGGTCTTTAATTACCTTTGCCAAAATATGGTTTGTCTTTGTTGTGAGGCTTGGGCTAGCAAGAGAGAAATCTTGGAAGGATCCCAAGAAGGGAAAAGGCTCTGTCCTCTCCTCTGCTTTCTCCTAGAACTCAGGCAGTGAAGGTAGGACCTAGCTGCTTCCAGGGGCACATTCCAGAGCCTGTGGTACACAAATAATGCCCAGCGCTGTACCTAAAAGCCTATGAGCTGCAAGCTTGCCTCTGCCCGGGGGCCTGTGTGTCACGCTCCCCAGTTGTCCCAAGGCTGGTTTGCTTGGACTCCAGTTAGACTTTCCTCCATCCTTAGGGCTGGCCACTGTCTCTCTGATGGTGATGACTTCTCAGGCAACACCAATAGAAAGGTCCTGCATTCTGGAATTGATATTCCTCTTATTCCCAGAGTCTGACTGGGATGTGTGTTCTGACCTGTCCTGTCAGGTCACCCTCAATGGTCCTTTTCCCTGTCCTTGTTTAAGCCCTGCATGTCCCTAGATGTTTCTTCTCATACTCTGGTTCCTGGGGACAGGTCCCAGCTCCCGCATCTCAGCCTCACCAGGAGTTTCTCCATAGGGAGTGAGTGGCCCCCTAGAGCCACTTGAAGGCAGGAGAGTCTGAGCCCAGCCTAGTCGCTCCCCTCAGTGCCCAAGTGCCAGTGAGGGAAGCACTCAGAAGAGCCCAACCCTCTAGCTGTCTTTAGGGGACACTGTCTATGGACGGTGGCTGGGACAAGCTGGGTGGTGCCCTGATGGCTTTGGGTGTCCTCAGCAGGGTCAGCTCTGACCAGCTGGCTGGCCAGGCAGTGCACCTGGGAAGAATGCCATGCTGCGTTGTGGGCCTGTGTTTTGACGGCCTCGTGTCTTGGCCATTGATGGGCAAAGTGTGGACTATGGCCAGGTTCTTCTGGGAACTTGGTCAGGGCAACACAACAGGAGGCAATTGGTGTCAGGGAGCCCTTGGCAGACACATCCTGGGCCCTCTTGAGTTGGAAGGCAGTGAGCTGAGGTAGAGAAGACTCCTTGGCAGCACACATGAACCACCATTCGTTTTGCTGTTTTGGTGGCAGTAGTGGCGCTTGAACCTAGGCCCTTATGGCCGTTATGCATACTAGACAAGTGCTCTACCACTGGACCACATTCTCGGGCCCCCTTTACCTTTTGCTTTGAAGAGGATCCTAGCAAGTTGCCCACACTGGTTGCCTTGAACTTGAAATCTCCTAGTCTCAGTCCTCCAGAGTGATGGGAATTGCAGGTCTACCCCACAAGGCAACACTTAAACTACCATTCTTCAAGCCATGCATCATACACAGTTTTAGCTATGTTGGGGGTATAAACGAACCCCCCTCAAGGAATTTGGAGTCTAAAAGTGCTGACAATTTTACATGAAATGTGACCGCCTAAACAGGTCCCCTGAACTTGAGTCAGTGGACAGCTGTCTGAGAGGCGAGGGAGCTCCAAAACCTCTGGGCCTTTTGCTTCAGGGAACACTGTGTGCCTGAGGGGGAAACAAGGTCAGATGGTTTGCACACAGGGGCTAGACAGGTGGCAGCCGGGAGGCTGACCAGTGAGGTCAGGTGTTGCCAGGCTGTGGCTGCGCATTCCTCCTGAGTCAGCGGAGCGCCCTGGCAGATTGCTAGCAGGAAAGGGATGTGCCTAAGAACACTGGCTGCCTGGTGGGATCGCTGGCCGGAAGTAAATGTGGCATGAGCCAAGGCAGCGACGTGGACAAGAGTGGACGTGAGAACACTTCAGGGCTTAGGCCAAAAAAGGATTCAGTGCTAGATTGGAGGAAGCAGAGAAAAAGAACTGAAGACAAAGAAGAGAAATCTCAAGTGAAGAGTCTGTCTCCTCCCAGAAACTCTGCCCTCTATGCTGAGGGGCCTCAGTGTGATGAGCCTCAGGAATGGGGAAGGAGCAGTGGTGAGGAGGCCCAGGGTAGAACCCTGGACTCAGGGGCCAAGTAGAAGGCTCAGGAAATCGCAGGGAGAGAGAAGCAGACAGTAACTGAGGATGTAGAAAGCATCTGAGTCTCCGGATCCTTTATTAACAAAAGTTTATTGAGCACCACAAGAGTGGATATAGATCTGGGCAGTGGTGGCACATGCCTTTGATCCCAGAGTTTTTAATCCCAGGCAGAGGCAGGAGGATCACTATGAGTTCAAGGCCAATCTGCTCTACAGAGTGAGTTCCAGGTCAGCCATGGCTCCACAGAGAAACCCTGTCTTTAAAAACAACAAAAAAGTGGATATAGACACTAGCAATAGAAATTTAAGACCAGCAATATGGCTCAGTGGGTAAAAGCACTTGCCACATAAGCCTGAGGACGGAGTTCAATCCCCAGAACCCACACAAATGTGGAAGAGAACTAACTGGACAAAGCCGCCTTCTGACCTCCACAAATGTACACACACACACACACACACACACACACATCCTTATCACAACTACAAAAAAATTAAAAAGGAAATAGAAATGGAGAAGTTTAAAACTAGTCAAGTTAAAGTCAAGGATGAAAAGCCTGAAGAGATGGTGTATTAGCTGATGGTGCCTCGGATCCCTGAGCCTGGTGATCCGACTTTAGTGCCTGGAGCTCATCATAGACAAGGGAACCCTGAAACTCTTCCTTTTTAAAAAAATGTATGTATGTATGTATGTATGTATGTATGTATGTATGTATGTATGTAT